CTTAGTATAAAAATGCAATAAAAATTCCAAAGAAAGTGAAAATTTACTTCTAATTGATAAGGTCAGAAGAGACGATAGAATATGTACTATTTTTTTTTGAACTACACCTCGCTTAAGATGGGAACAGAAAAAGATGTGTATTAGGGGCTAGGGAGTGTTTTTTTCCCCCTAAAGATTTATTTATTTATTTTAGAGGAGGGAGAGGCAGAGGGGGAGAGAGAGAGAGAGAGAATCTCAAGCCAACTCCCAGCTGAGCAGAGAGCCCAACACAGGGCTTGATCGAGCAGAAATCAAGAGTCAGACGCTTAACAAACTGTGCCACCCAGGCACCCTGGGAGTGTTTTCTTTAAAGATGACAGAATTGGATATTATAAAGAGATAGTTCAAAATAGTGATGAAACTAATTGGTTGGGAATAAGGAGTTTGAGGACTAAGGAAAAAGTAATTTTGCTTATATTGCATAGGATCTCAAATGACAAACTGAAGTTTTTGAAATGGTGTTTCAGAGGAGAGATGGGTAGAGTTTTCTAGCATGGACCTGGCATGATGAAGGTATGTCTGGTGGCAGCTACAGAATGATTAGAATAAAGGAGAGCTGCAATTCTCCATAGTAGATAGTACATTACCTTAGCCAAAATGAGCACTCAAGCAGTGTTTGTTAAATCAATGAAAAGGGTCTAAGATAAATATTATGCCTATAGGATTGGAAATGAAAGGTCATTTCGTGAAAAGAAAATTAAAGAATAATCTAAAGTTCTTGATGTCTTTGAATGTGAGGTAATGAGAAATGGTAAAAAATGAATGATGCCATGACTTCTGAGTCTGGATTATGGGAAAATGATGATGGTTTTCATTAAAAAGAACATCAGAAGAGAAAATAGGTAGTGCAGCTAGTCTAATGGAGTGTAATAGTGAACTCACAGAGTGTAGTATGACATCATATGCCCTACTGATGAAAATCTCCGTCAAGTAGTATTCAAAGAACATGAGATGAGGCAGGAAGTTAGAGGCATAACAGGGAGAGGAGAGGAGTGCAGAGAGGCCGGGGCATCCAACAGGAAAAAAATTCAATCTAGAAATAGAAGAGGTTGGGGCACCTGGGTGGCTCAGTCAGTTAAGCATCTGCCTTCCATTCAGGTCATGGTCCCAGGGTCCTGGGATGGAGCCCTGCATCGGAGTCCCTGCTCAGCAGGGATCAGGCTTCTCCCTCTCCCTCTGCCTGCCGCTCCCTCTGCTGGTGCTCTCTCTCTTGCTTTCTACCTCTCTCCCTCTGTCTGTCAAATAAAGGAATAAAATCTTAAAAAAAAAATAGAGGCAAGTCTAACTTGTTCATTGGCAAAGTATGAGGTGGTTTCTTTTTGAGGGGGGGTGGGTAATGCAGGAAACATTAAAGTCAGTGATCTAAGTCAGTGATCTAAGTAAATACATAAAAAAGAACAATCAAAAAGAATTAGAAAACCAGGATAGATTATCTTAAGAGATCCAGAGTGGGGGAAAATACAAGTGCAAGATCATAAATTGCTAACAAATATTGCAGTTAAAAGGACAGGCAAAAATTGGAGAAGTTCGATTTTATTAATTGTAATACTATTGGTGATTTTTTTCAAGTGTGTTTTTTCTGTTGTTTTGTTAGAGATTTGTCAGGAACCTATACATTGATGTTAATTGAAACTATGGTAATGGATCAGATTCCACTGGGAATATATTAGTAGAAGATTGCAGACTAAAATTTGCACAATAGATAGAAAATGAAATGGAAAACAACCAAGAAGTGACTAAATATGGTATAATAATTACCTACACATAGGGGCTGTCAAAGTAGCAAAGGCAATCTAAAGTGTTAGAAATAAACAGAGAAGTAAAGAAGCATAAAAAAGAAAGATTTATTGAATTGTAACAAAAGAGCATCATTAATGACATTAATAGGTACAGTTTCAGTGGAGTGTTGAAATATTGTTTTAAAAATATGGATTAAAAATAATTTGTCAGTGGAAACAGAAACAAGTACTGGCAGAATATAATTAACTCTATGTGAATAAGAGACTTTATCACTAAATATACATCTAAATGACACTGTTTCTCCTTTGTATGTATTTGAGAATCATTATTACTGTATGATTGCTTTTAGAATATTGACTATACATACATTAACATCTGTTGAATTCATATTGGGCACCAAGCAGATAATAATCCTGGAGAAATAAATATGTGCAAAGCAAAGCCTTGAATGGTGAAATATAAGTAGTTGTAGCAGTTTTAATTGAAAAAATATTCATTTACAAAGTGTCTCTCCTATGCTAAGTCCTATGCTACGTGCTTGGAACATAACACTGAGAGCAGGACAGACGTAATCACTGCCCCCTAGGTACTTACTGGCAAAGGGATGAGTCTGGCAGAAAATAAATCCATTCCAGAAATAAATGGAAAAATGAGAATGTATTATGAAGAAATAAAAGCACACTTCACAAAAAGGGATTTCTCCTCTTCCAGAAGGTGAGGCAAAGCTTACCTGTGGAAGTAAGGGGTATTGGGAATCTAAGAATGAGATGAAATTGATAAGGCATAGAGAGATGAAGAGCCAAGCATGTGCTAAGTTTCTGTGATAGAAGGAAGCTGGATGTAAGGCACTAAGAGAATGAGATGAAACTGGGGAGGAAAGGAAAATAGGCCATATAGGGTTGACCATCATGTTAATAGCTATTGTGTTCACTTTAAGAACAATAGTTAAGTCATCGATGTGATTTAAGCAGAGAAATGTCATGATCAGATTTTCATATTAAAAAAAATTCTGGTTGCAGGGCATTATGCTTGCTTGTGTTTTTTTTTAAGATTTTATTTATTTGAGGGGGGTAGGAGGAGGGGCAGAGGGAGCAGGAGAGAGAGAATCTTAAGTAGGCTCCACGCCCAGTGGTACCCCATGCAGGGCTTGATCTCAAGACCCTGAGATCATGACCTGAGCTGAAACAGAGTCAGACACTTAACCAACTGAGCCACCCAGGCACCCTGCTTGCTTGTGTTCTTAAACTATACTAAGCATAATCAGGAATTTCTTAGCAGAATATAGGGTGTAGAGCATTACATTAAAAAAAAAGAATGGTCAAGAATGAACATATTTCAAAATTAATAAAAGGATCTGAGAGGGAGATACTGAATATATGAAGAAGTAATTGGAAGTCTAAGATTCGGAAGAGTAAATTTAGAGGAATAGATCTGAAGTTCAGTTTAGAATATGTTAGTTGATTTTTAGGTGTCTGTGAGACATCAAAATGGACATATTGAGGTAAAAATTTGGTCTGTGTATCTGAAACTTAAGGGAGAATAGAGATGTAGACTTGAGGGGGGGGCAGGAAATAAGGCTTGTAGTAGCAAGGATAAGATCACCTATGGGAATTTTATAACTCAAAATTAATTGTGTGACAAACAGTTCCAGGGATACCAACAGTTAAGTGTTGAGAAGAGAAAGAAAAGTGAAGAAATCTAAGCAATAATAGTCACAGAGGTAGAAGGAGTAAGATATATCATCTCATTCAAAAATTATCTGAGTCAACTCGTTCTAGTATAATATTTTCTGTCAACCATGCTTTCTAACTAAGCACACACTTTTCTAGGCATTGTATTTAGTAAATATAAATGAGAACTCTGTAATGCACTGAGAGCATGTTTTAAAAATAAGTTCTAGAAACACACATTAACTATGTATATTCATGTGGGATGTATTTGCTTTTGTTTATGTAGAAAAAATACAGTGTCTTTCCTAAAGAAAAATTGAAAGATAGAAGATTGTTCCTTAGTCCACTGGGGAAAGTAACTGACTTAAGACCAAATTTTGACAGTGAATGAATGGAATTATGGCCACAGTGCCCTTGCATCCTGAAGGAGAGATTCATTTGACACATTTGAAAAACTAGGTGTCCACGCCTATGTGTGAGCAAGCTTTTTTGCAAATGAGCAAGCAGTGCCTTTATGTCTTGTTACTAAGTATTCCAATCCTTCTGAAGAGTGTATGAAAGAACTGCAACTTTTAGGATTTGAGAGATGGTACACATGGTTACATATAGATGTTATTTGGAAAAAATTAACATTTTGAAAATTGCTATACCAAATATGATTTCACTGGGATACTGTTTACCATTTCCATAATTAAGTTACTTATGAGAGGAACTTTTTTGAGATAGTGCATTAATGACCTTAGAAAGTAACAAAATCTCAAAAAACCTATTTTAAATTGAGCAGGTTTTCTTTCTTTAATTTTTATCGTTTGTTTGTTTGTTTTTTCTTTTACTCTTTGAACAATTTCAGTGTTTTACGTGGTCTTTCTTGGCTCATCAAGAATTTGTAAGATATTTCTGTCTACTTGCCTGATTTGAGTCTGTCTACAGTGACCTTGAGGTCCTGAAAAATAAAATTGCAAACACAATAATGATTTAGAAACATTCATGAATGCTTCTTTAAGGCATTTTACATCTGTCATCTGTCATTGATATGTATACACAAAATATTTATGTATATAAATTTAGTTGCCTGTCATTAGATTGAGTTCAATAACTTTGTTCTACCAACAGTGTTTCATTTATTAGCTTTTCTTCAGAATCCATTCCTTTCAAAACATTTCATGGTGAAGTCTGCATAGATTGCAGTATTTGTTGAATAAACTCCATTATTAAGTACACTGTTCTGATCTTTGCACAATAATTTGCATAACTACCCCCAGAAATAGATTTCTCCCCCTAGGAAGCTAGTTTGCAAAGAAAACGTTATGAATTTTCATTTTAGTCTCAGCTTTTTATCCCCAGGTACATCACAGTGTTATTTTTGAATGCATGGTTTTTTGTTTCTGTTTTGTTTTTTTTTTAGGGCATTTTCCTTAAAAAAAAAGACAACCTGCCACATTTTGATAATAATATGATTTAATACAATGTAATGCCATGATTCATTCATTCATTCATTCATTCATTTCGGTTACCACTGACTTTTCCTAATGACCTTTTCTACATTTTTAGGGTGAAACCAAGATCTTAAAACTAAAGAATCTTCGACCTCAGGACTATGCTAATTACAGCTGCATTGCTTCAGTGAGGAATGTATGTAATATTCCTGATAAGATGGTGTCATTTAGACTTTCCAATAAAACAGGTATGGAGCTATTTCTCAGTGTTTTATGTCTGTTATCCATAGCTAATGCTTAAAAAGGTTAAGTTCCTTATAGACCAAATGATTTCTATAGTATATGTAGGAACAAGGCAACTTTTTTTCCCCAGAGAAGTCTATGATATCTGAAAAGTTATTGGTAAATGTACACTGTAAAGCTTAATTGCAATATGTTCCCATGTAATGTTTGTTTATATAGCATAAAAAATTATAGTTCCTTAAAATAGTATATTCATAAATGTCACAATCATGCCCATATCCTGTTCAAAGAAATTCTGAGAAATACTAGATTCTTCATATAAAAATTTATGGTCTAAATTGTTAAAAGTGTTTTGTGATTCCAAAGCTAAGTAAAAGAATCTCTCTCTTACTCTGTTTCAAGTCAAGAACGTTAATTGGTAATTTCAGGTAGGTGTTTTTAGGAAAGTATTTTTGCAGAAAATGTCAAAACATTAGCAAGATTGCGACTTAAGTTATCCTGTGTTTAGTAATAGAGACCTCAGAATAACTGCAAGCATATAAAGAGGAATTGCTAAATGAAAGAGCAAAGAGAGAGCATGGGAATGGACTGTCTTTTGCATGATTGTGTGTGAAGAATCACCTTAATAAATTAGAATTTGAACTGGTTTTGAGAAACTATCAGGGGCAATTAATGTAAATTTTTACTTTCAAATAACGCTATTAAAATAAAGAGTTTTAAAGGTAATTTTCTCATTAACAAAAACCTTAAAAAGTGTGGGTTTGTTGTGCCTGGGTGTATGTTTTGATTCTGCTGCTTATTAGCTCTTGGATCTTGTTGAACAAATTGCTTCATACTCTAGCTCAATTTCCTCACAAATTCGTAACGTTGTAGGGAAGAATTAGTGAGTTAATATACATAAAGCACATGGAACACACTTTGTCAGTTTTCCAACAAAGAGCTAGTCAGCATCCAGCACATTTGATGAAAAGGTTACACCTGGGACTTTATTGGAAGGTGAAAAAAATGGATGCTCAAGTGTTGATTCATCAACACAGATTCCATTGAGTTGTTAAAATCTTGAAAGATAATTTTTAAAATGTATTCATTCATGTATTTGCCAGAGACTTACTGGGTTCCTATTATGGGTCTGCAATGATAGGCATAGGAATATTGGCGAAGATGCAAATTGCCTTAAACTAGAGAAATGCTTTATTAAGCACCGGGTAAAAGTCATTAGGAGAAGGTAAAAGGAGAATGTGGGACATGAAAGTAAACTTTATCAGGAAGGATGAGAAATACTTGAGGGAAACTACACTGCAGAAAAATAAAATCTTAGTGAACCTAAGACTTATAAAAGTTAATAATCTCGTTTCACTTAAAAAAAGAAATAGGATATTGAGAAATAAATATCAGAGATTAACATATAAGAGCTGAGTGTGATTATATTGTTTTTCTTAGCATGAAATACTTGGTGAATTATTATAATTAATTTTGTTTTTCTTAGTTTCTTTAATATATTTTTAAAATACCCATATCCAGAGAGAAAAATTATAAATAAAATGAAAGTACGTCCTAGAGGATGGGTAAACATATTGCAGTAGAATAAGAACGAAGGAGTAGGTATATTATTACATATGTTACAACCTTACCCTTGAGCAGTGCTTTATTACTTGTAAAAGTATTTCATGTTTATTATCTCAGTTTATCTTTATAACTACTGAGCTGTAGGCAGGTAGATTTTTTTTGTTGTTTTTCTTGTTCGTTCTATCACGTCTTTATCATTTGATACGTAACACAGTAGCCCGTGATGATTAAAGTATCCACATTAGATTGTTTTGAGAATGAACTAAATCAACATAAACCAAAATTCATTAAAGACTAAGAGGTACAATAAAATCATATTTAACATTTTTTCTGCTATAGGAATGTATATCTTTATTATTTCCCAATGTCCCACAGCTACTAGCGAGTGGGGACAAAATTTATCCCAATGTGTGAAGAGTTATTTTAAATAGGAGACTGATAACTATTCAAATAGCTATTCAAAATTTTTGTGGAGCCAGAGAAAATGAACCTAAATCTTGGCCAGAGTTTTACTAGGAATAAATAAGGACTTTTTAACCTAAGGCTGAAAGGAGGAGATTACTGTGAGAGGTGATAGACTTTCCAATTCCTGAGGTCTTATAAAGCAGCTGGGTGGCTTTATGTCTGAGGTGATTTTTAACAATTGCCAGCTCAGAAAACAAAGACTTAACTCCCTGTCCTGTGGAGAGAGCACAGGAACTCTGTCATATAAATGTTTTGTTTTACTCTTCAGCTTTCTGTCCTATTTATTTTTCAGGCTAAAGTATTGTATATCTAGACCAAACTAACAAAATAACCTATTATTCTCTTTCATAAATTATCTCATAAAGATTTTAGATTGATGTTCACTGAAAATGCATTAGAGTTATGGCAAATAATTGGGTTAAAAATATAAGCTACTACCTTGTTTGACTCTTCAGTAACTATAATCAAACCTGTCATGTGGTTGGTGGTTTACGTATTCAAACCAGGTTTGCTTCAGCATTTTTCCCATCTGGTTGTGCTCAAAATTGGAAGAGTTGGTGCATTTCAAATAGGTGAAATCATTGAGGTAGCTCTCAAATTACACCAGAAATAAATTCAGCTTTCAACATCTTCATGAAAACAGGCTTATAAACTGACAAGTGAATACAGGCTAGTTCATTGCTTTCTAACACTGGAAGAACATCAGGAGTCACCATTGGCATAATCAGTGTGAGAGGCAGGTGTTTTTTTTTTTTTAAGATTTTATTTATTAGAGAGAGAACATGAGGTGGGGTGGTGGTGGGCAGAGGGAGAGGGAGAAGCAGTCTCTCCACTGAGCAGGGAGCCCAACATGGGGCTCAAACCCAGGACCCCAGGATCATGACCTGAGCGCAAGGTGAACACTTAACCGACTGAGCCACCAAGATGCCCCAGGGACAGGTACTCTTTATGGTTTCATTCTTGTGAATCTTTAAAGGACACAAAGTTCCCATGTTTTTAACTCTTGGTTGCAAAATGTCAAGGAAAATCTTGAATGTATTGAGGGGGAGAATATTCTATTACAAATATTGTAATATGTTTGATTACTCTTCTCTGTTAATTAATATGTTGAGGGTAACTTTGGAAATATTTTTTGTAATGGAGATGAGATAATTGACTATTAGATGTATTTTTGGTACAAGCAAATTTTTATTTTAACAGTTCTATAGTCAATGAAAAATTTTAAATGCAGTCAGTTTATTGACCTGATTTGCACAATGCCCAAATAACATAGCATATGAAGATGGAAACAGTGTCTGCTGTGGATAAAGTTTTGTAAATTTTTTGCAGCAGAATGATTGCATCATGGAGCACAGTTTTCTGTGTCCTTCCTGCACCTGCTGAATTAGCCTTTCTGGGAATGACCTACAATGTATACACCTTAAACAAGCATAAATCATTACTTTGGAAAACAGATACTGTCTATATTATCAGAATGTTTTCCATGAACCCATTCTTTGTGAATTGGAACTTTCGTTAAAAATAAGTCTACTTTGGGGGCGCCTGGGTGGCTCAGTTGGTTAAGTTACTGCTTGAGGCTCAGGTCATGATCCCAGGGTCCGGAGATCCAGCCCTGCGTCAGGCTCCCTGCTCAGCGGGATATCTGCTTCCTCTTCCTCTGCCCCTCCCCTCTGCTTCTGCTCTCCGTCTTTCTCACTCTCTCAAATAAATAAATACAATCTTTAAAACAAAAGCCTATTTTTTTTTTACAACTGCTTAGAGAAGCCATGTTCAGGTGTCATTTTAAAAGGCAATATCATCTGTAGATTTACCAACAACATGTTTTCTTAACCTTCCTACTACGAATTGGCATTATAGTAGAGCTTGTATTGTATGTCTACCATGTCCAATCATTTGTTAGCCCCTGTTGATTACTAGGTGTGCTATGAAAAATCTCATGTCACAGAAATGTCATTATTTATCATCCCTAATATAGCTGTCTTAGAACTTACCGTGACAATTTAAACAATTTTATAAAACATGAAGCTTTAGGTTAATTTCTTTATTGTCATTAAGTTGTAGGTGGGTCCAAAGTTGTTTTGGTTATTTTCCTACTCCCGTTTGGGAGAAAAAGAATGTTAGCTCTTGATTGATAAATTCTCAATGTAGCTATATTTTTCTTAGTTCATTAAAACAAACATGCTAAAATTTGTAAATTTAGAATATTGATAAATATAGATATATATTTTAAATTAACATAATTATGGTAACTATTAAATATTAAAATTTCTCAGATTATGTGTATTTCTAATGTGAGGGCATACAGAAATTATGATAAAACTAATTTATTTTAATATATTTCAAACACATATATGTTGATGTCTCATTTCAAAGGCAAATAAGAATTAAGTAAGTTACTTATATTAGGATGAAAAACATATTTTGTAACTGCTTGAGAGGGTTATGATGTGTTCTATAAAGAAATGGGACAGGTGGGGCTAATTTGACTTAATTATATAGGTCCTTTGATTCAGTGGGTTCACACTTAATATTTATAAAAATTATTTAATTAAGATGTCTTCCTTAAATGCACATCACATTTAGGAACCAAGTCATTGCAAAAGTATTACTGGCCATATAAATAGGGGAAAACTATACCCCTTTCTCGTCTTCCTCTCTTTCTCCCTTCTATCTCTCTTTCTTTTTCCTTTACTTCTTTTTCCCCCTTTCATCTATGTTAATAAATTATCATGAAAAAAATTAGAGGGGTTAGGAGACATCTCTGTTTCTTATGTTAGATAACAGTTATCTATCCTTATTTTATATAACTCACAGGGAAAGTGTAATATAAATGCCAACAATTGCAACAAACCTCAATATAAAATTTTTGCAAAATTGTGATCTATTTATGGTAGTTTTCTCCTATGTTTATGGGAATTTAATGTATGTAGGTGTGAGAAATAAAATAATATTTCATTTATAGGAATTTTGTAAG